AATCATTGTTAAGTGCATAGTATAGAGCATGCTGCAGAGCATGAATATATATATGTAAGCTACTATTTAATATGCAGTTTTTATTTATTGTTATAATAATTATTACTATTATTATTATTATCATTATTAAATGAGTATTATTATTATTATCATCAAGTAGCTCTTTTGCTTTTGCCATTTGCACCAGTACTAAGCTTTACAGAGGGTAGATTTCTTTGTACGTCTTTCCCTACTGCAGGCTAGGATGTAATGTAGTCTGAATCCCTCGCTGTAGATTATAATGTTACCGTTATGCACCTGTCGTTGAACATATTTTATAGATTGCCCTCTCAAGATCTTGTGATTACTGTTTTTTATTTTTAAGTCTTTGTTCTTGGTATGTATCAGTTTTTGTATGGGTCGTTCTTAATGTGAATGTATTGAGGAAGCCAGATTTTCTTGGATTTTTAAATATAATAATATGATAGTATTGATTGTTTTATATCATGTTGATGTTAAATAAAGCAGAGCAAGAACTATAATGATCATTGGAGTGAATTCATTTTTTAATTGTGTTTTTATCAAAGAATCATCTCATTCAAAATGTATAAGTATAATTACAGTATAGCATGCATATAGTGAACATGCACATAGAGAAACAAGCACAATGCAAACAGATTTTCAGGTCCCAAAGTTTTTCCTTTTTTTCCATAGACTTGTATATAATTATTTCTTTTATAGTTAAAACACTTACGCTGAGAAATCTACACATAACGAAAAGATTTCTCTATGCCACCAATTTGATTATTTATATATGCATGCTAGACTGTAATTTTTAGCGGCAAAATCTGGAGTTGTATCAGTTTATTTTTGCCGTCCTGTATCATGGAAGATCATGGAATGGGTAATGAAAATAATAATTTCACACAGACTCACAATGCCTATGCTAGGAGTGAAACAATATAATTTTTGCTTTTACTGAACAGTTACGGCCAAATATAAAAGATGAGTTCAAAATATACTCGTTAAAATAATGAATGGGAAGAAACCGTCATTTTTTTCCACCTGTTTGGTAATTTTTTATTTTTTTTATTAAAAAAATTAAATTCTGGCTCAATACCTTTAATGTCCATTTAAAAGCACATTTTTGTGTAAATCTTACTGAAAAACGTTAATTAAAGGCACAAAAAATATACATTTTTAATTTCCAAGGACTCTCAAGCTTTAGAAGTTACTATATCATAACAGATGAAGGTTTACGGGAGACATAAAGCTGTGAAGTCGCTAACTCAGAATTACAAAGTTTTATCTGGCATTTTTGGACGTTTTGAGTCACTAAGGCCGCCCATGAGGTCAGTGCTCTATCAAAACCGTAAGATTATTCGGAGTAGTTATCAAGATATTCAAAGCATTGCCTTCGAAAAAGCTTGAAATTTTTGCAAATGAAACTCAAAATTTTTAGCGTCAAATTTATCAAGACTGGGTACTGAGCAGATAGAACTTTATAATTCTCAGATAGTGAAATGGTGACGCATATACAACATGCCTAATGTGGGGCTGAAAGACTATTGCACTCAGTCGATGCCCTTGGTCAATGAAACAAAGATTATGTACTTATTTCATTATCTGTACTATTTTGTATGAAGCCTTGAAAAAAGTACAGATCCCGGGCTCCTAAAAAATATTTACCCCTCTTCGTTTAATTATTAAAGCAGAGATGAACTGACAGAGAATACTGAGTTTGAGAAAGCGGATGGTTAAAGAGCGCCACTCGTAGGTCTTACTTTTTTTTTTACTTTCCCTCTGTTATTTCTGTCTGTCTTACTTTTCCCAGAACTAAAGGGCCATTATTGTGTCGATCTATCAGTTTCTGTCAGCCTCTATCAAGTTCATGATATTGCCCCAGACCTGCTTGGCCTTGACCTGTAGCCTCAGGAAGGCCGGGAGGATCCTGTTAGCGTTGTGCACGTGAGACTCCTGTAGCAGGATGGCCAGACCGGCGCAAACGTCTTCCCCCCGCTCCATGTGAGTGGCCAGAGGTACGTGACACGCCGGCTGCTCGTCCAACAGCACACACGTGAACTCGAGCACGTGATGAAGCTCTAGAGTCACGTGAGTTAGGTTCTGCGCGGCTTTCCTGATGACGTCATCTAAGGGGACGTCTTCGGTGTCGGACAACGAACATGCTGAGTCATTTGACAGAGATGAGAACGTGCGAGACAAGGGTCGAGACGCGTTGCCAGATAAGCTGCTGCGTTTGAGGCTTCGCGTGCCCATTAGTCGTTCGTTTTCTTCGTTCCAGTAAAACAGTTTCTCTCTCCATCCAGCGGCCACTTTCTTTGCGTCTCCAATATGGAAACCTTCTCTTGCCGCGTCTTGTATTTTGGTCGCCACCAGGTCCGACATAGAGTAGAGGGCCGATACGACTTGAGGGTGACGTAAAATCCTGTGCTCCATGGCCATGGCGTACCACTTGGATGCGTTCACGTCTGCTGCCTTCTGCTCCTGAGACAACAGATTCTTCTTGAACCGCGCGTCATTGAGAACAAATCTCTCCTGGCAGGCGTTGTGTTCTTCACTTCTTCCATTGCGCAGTTCTTGGCCGCACGGCACGCAGAACCGGCAACCACACTCGCAGTGCTCAGATTTGCTAGTCCTTGTCGTCTGTCGAAACTGTCCACATTTAGGACAGTGTTTGCCTCGTAGAATTATGTCTGGGAGCTCATGGTCTTCTAATGGTCTTTTGAGCACATCAAGTGTCTGTGTGTGGAGGAAGTGCTGGTATCTTGAGGCTGCCTCGCAACTTGCTGGCCAATGCGGCAACTGAAGACAGGCCAGACAAACCTGCCACGAGCATTTGCACGTGACAAATGACAAGTGGTCGGTCTTTGATGAGGCAGACGGCTTTGAGTACAGAATGCGTTCACAGTGAGGGTTTGGACACTGCTTCGTGTATGATAAAGAGAGTAAAAAGTTGTCTGTTTTACTCCTGTTGAAAGAGCGAATGTGCTGCAGGTCGAGCAGTGTGAGCAAGGTCGCGTGCTCTATTGGAGTCACACAGGTTTTCTTCAAGCACTTGAGATAACCATCGCTTTTGTTTTTGTTGTTTTTGTTGTTGTTGTCATTTTTGCTATTATTTTTGTCACGTGTCTTTGATTTTCGCGCAACCCAGTAGTTCCAGCATTGCTCACAGAACCAATGACTGCACAGCTGTAGAGCCAGAGGGAAGCTTCCGGCCCCTGCGCGACTGCCACTAAGGTTTGAGAGACAGATTGCACAGATTGTAGGAGAATTCGGGCCACGGCCTTCTGGCGCAGAGAGGTCTTCGACACTACTGTTGCCGTTTCTGTCGGTTGCAGTCCCAGAATCTTCCAGAAAAGGGTGCAAGTTGCTGTCATTTAGTATCTCATTCAAGTTGGCCACGCGACTGCCATATTTATTTGGTGCCATTTTGGATTCCTTTAAATTATAATGCTGCCTGTCGTCATGTAAGGCCTCACTTAAATCGTGCTGGAGATAGTTGAGGTCTGTTTCAGACTCCAAGATGTCTCGAAGATTCCGCAGCATTGCATTGGTATCAAACCATTCTGTGGCATGTGGAAGCTGGAAGCTCCCGTTGTTCCATTTTGTCATGGAAGCTAACATAAAGAAGCTGCAGACTGGCCGTGTTTGTGTTGAGTGTCGCGAGCCTGTGGATGAGTTTCCGCTCCTAAAATCACTGATGTCAACTGAGTCCACCGCGGTTACAACGCGCTGTATGAGCTCGCCGATGGAGGCCTCGGCGTCAGATTGCGCAAAAGATCCGAAAATATCATTTACCCCGAGTTGTGAGGTCCAGGTGGAAGATACCCACGCTCTATACTCGTCCAGGCTGTCGCCTAGCTGGCGGGTGAAAGCAAACACGAGGTATGTGGTCAGATCGGTTTTGGACATTCTCCACGAACGAAGTTTGTTGAGTAAAGCAACCCGGTGATAGACGATGCGGGATATGTTGATCACAAACCGCCGAGGTTTGCAGGACGCCTCTCGGTAGTCTCGCCGGAACTCTGCCTTCAGCTGGTCGGGGCGAATTTTTGTGCGGTCGAGTTTCACTCTCGCGTAAAATGATTCCTTTTCGCTTAGTCTTTTCTTTTCTTCAGGGTCACTCTGTCCATAATCGTTTGCTTTCTCATCTGAGAAGACATCACCTACTTCGGGTTTACCTTCGGAAACGCTGCTTGGACTCTCGTTCTCCTCCACTTTTCCAAGCTCAGATTCAAGAGAGTTTTCCAGACTTTTGCCTGCTGTTTTCACGGACATATTATCACTGAAAGCCGAGGAAACAGATTGGTTCATTTTGGATTCTACTTCTGGCGGTCGTAGCGTTGGCATGGTGACTAAAGCATTGTCGTCATCAATCTTATAACCAGATTCTCCGGACACAAAACCTGCATCATCAGTGTCCACACCACCTCTGTCGTCTGCTTGTATTCCAAGCCGACGAGCATCCTCAGGGGGCCAGAAGTCTCCTAATGTTAGCCCTTTGCGCAGAGTTGCTTGCCCTTCTTCCGGGTTGTGTTTTTGATCGTTCTTCTCCCAGTGATTGGTCTCCTGATCCTGGCGCTCGGTGGTTCTTTCTAAGACGTGAACGCGCCATGTTTCTGACACAAAACTTTTGGATTGTGACTTTTGGGAGCGGATGAATTTGTTCGTTAAGATACGTCGTATTCGACTCTTTTTAGGAATGTGAGGAGGCTTTCGCCAAAATCTGTTGTTCAAGCCTTCGTCATCGTCGGAACTTTCATAGTTGTCTACTTCATCTTCACTGTCATCACCTTTAGTAGATGGCTTGATCTTGTGTGGTTGTATTCCGGAATCAGAAAACAAACATTGAGTACGCCCTACTTGGCTTTTGAGGTATGGTATTACTTTAAATGTTTTGGAACTGAGCTCGTTATGTGGACTAACTTTAAAGTCCCCCAAAGTCAATTTTTCCCGCCGAGTCAGGACTGCCCTGATGTTGACTTTTGACGAATGGAAAGTTAACCCCGGATACGGTGACCACCAGCCTTTCAACACTTTGGCGAGTTTTCTCAACCGCTTACGTGCTGGAAGTGTTAACAGTTGGTCAAGTGTCCAGTGTTCCTGGTCAGCATGGTGAATGGGGAGATGAGGTGCGTTTTCATCCAACAAATGATCAGAGTGAAGAAGGTCCAGAGAGTTATAAGAGGCAGCAGCCCCAGCTTGATGGTTGGGTTCTTTTGTTGTGGAAAACTGCAAGACCCGGGGTCGGCGAACATGTTTTTGTGGCTGTAAGAGAGAGTGGCTCATTCGTCGGTACTTGTTATCCTCGAATATTTTCCTCGCCCGGCACCTCCGGAGAAATTTTTTACTGACGACGACGGGAGCACTATCATCAGCCATTTTGTCTCTGGTTGGATGTAAATCTTAGACAGTGGTCTTCTTTTCTGTTCCAGAGCTTTGTGGTCTTCTTTTCTCTACATATCTTGTATATTAGTTGAGCAGTGCGGTGAAGCAAGTAGGAGCGTCGAAGACCCCAAAATTCTGTTCAGCATGTCTACTGATCAGCCGTCTGCAGGGGAAAGAAAGAGGCGAAGTGTTTTAGAAAAAAAAAGCACACGTGAAAAAAAGTTCTGATCGTTTGGTCTCGTCACCAATGATAAGGACGTCAAGGTCAAGTCCATTTGGTGAAAACTTTTCGGGTCGGAAAAAAAAATGAATTAGAGCCAATTAACATGGACTGCTGTTAAGGGACACTTTTGGGGGGTGCATCTATTTTTCTGGAGGGCATCCATATCTAGTAACTTTGCACGAGAGTGCTTTCTGGTCGCTAATATGGCCACGATTGGACAGGGGGAGTTTGTCTTGACCTGTTATGACCTTTGAGTTGCCTCTTCTTAAATTAAAGAAAACCTGTCCAATTCAAAATGTTAAAAGAATGGGGGGGGGGGGGGGGGATTTACTGTGTTACATGTCAAAATAGGTAAGTGTCAGATAAATCTTATCGCAGATGCCACAGACTAATCATGTTAATAAAAAAAACTTGGTTAAAGTACAACTTGAAGGCTCGTGTATTCGAATATAATATATTGATAGGTCATAGATACTAAGGAAAGCTAATGTTTCCTGCATTTATTGTACAGTGAGTGTCGCATTCAACGGGGTTACTTTCAACGAGAAGTCGGCTCCAACGAGGCTATCATTAATCCCCGATTTTTACCTCTATATCTTTTTGTAAATGAACGTCAGCTTCAACGAGGTTGCAAACAGACTGAAGTCGCTTTCAACGAGGTCGCGATAAGCAAATAAAAGCAATTAGTGGCCCCAAAAGCGAAGAATTGTTCTCCTTTCTCTCCATCTCAGGCGAAACACAAGGCCCGTCCTCCATTCTTAACACATATTATTGCTAGATCTAGTGTGCCTCGCTCAAACACGCGCACACTGATGCTGTTTGAGATTTTTGTTATCTGGGAGGACAACTGTTTTAATTACTGGTATTGGTACATTGTATAGTATAATAACTTGTCTCCTTTTTTTTCTTTAGCCTTTGTCACGTTCAACGAGAGGTCGGATCCATCGAGGACAACAAGCCGTCCCGGCAACCTCGTTGAATGCTACACCCACTGTAGAAGGTGCAGTCATGAAATATGCAACAAGGTGACATCTTTATAAAGAAGAGAAGTACGATGGAGAGAGGGAGGAAGAGAGAGAGACAGAGAGAGAGAGAGAGAGAAGGAGAGAGAGAGAGAGAGAGAGAAGAGAAGGAGAGAGAGAGAGAGAGAGAGAGAGAGAGAGAGAGAGAGAGAGAGAGAGAGAGAGAGAGAGAGATGTAGGGGATCAGAGAAATCTAAGGACGAACAATAATAACCAACCACTAATGTACTGACAATTTTTGGAAGATGAAACGTTTTCTAATCAACCTATGCCCACCTCAGAGCGCAATACTTTATATTTTTACTTTGCAGCCGGACAATTGGCGCTATTCCAAAAAATAATTAGCGACATACATGTAGTTGCTTTCTTCTAATTTCTCACACTGCAGATACCGGTCTCCTCGATAGAATGTTCAACAGAACGAGGGGCTAGAGGTCATAGGTCAGGCCACGAGCTATTGAGGCTCGGGTTATTAGGTCATTGCCAAGCTTGAATGCCCCAATGCTATGACGTGCCGAACTATCGATTGTCGCTGACGGCAAACGAGGCGAGACCAGTGGACGAAGGTCATGGATTGCACCAAAGATTCTCGACTACACGATCTTTGATTGCTCTGCTGGTCTATTTCGGGAACGCGCTACGGAATTTCCGTCCCTCAGAAGGGTTTTGGAGTGTGTGTGTGTGTGTGTGTGTGTGTGTGTGTGTGTGTGTGTGTGTGTGTGTGTGTATTGTGTGTGTGTGGGGGGGGGGGGTGGGGGGGTAACAAACGAACTTACAGTCGAATGTGAAAGCCCCAATGCTTTCTGTTCAAGTCAATCACCTCGACACGCTCATGATAAACACCTAAGTTATGTTTAGCTATTTTGAGAAAATAAGTTGAAAAAAAAAATGATTCTTTCGAACCATTAGTTGGCTGAATGGAATTCTTGCATGCTGTTATGCTCAAGTAATTTTTTATTTGGATGATTATTTTGTCCAAGTGAACTATTAATACCTAGCTCGCTCTGCTTTTCATTTCAGAACAAAAAACTCCAAACCTGCCAAAAGTGACTTAGGCAATTATCTAATGAGTGGAACCCCCTTTACAAAATATTGAGCGGGTGGTAGTTGTTGGAGGGTGCCATTGTAGTTTCTACTCCCCCCCCCCCCCCTATCGTTTGTCGTTTCTATCTGTGTCACTTTTTCCCCAACACTTAGGACGAGCATTATTGTGTCGGTGTTCTTCTCTTTACTCAAGCAAATAAAAACAAAATATTACTACAAACAACCACATCCCACTTTCCCCTTGTGTTTTTTAATACTGTCAAACCTGTTCTAACGGCTACCTGTATAAGACAATCACCTATACAACAACCGCTTCCCATTTCCTCCCTTGCGTAATTTTATAATTTTATAATAAAACTGTGTAAGATGCCCATCTGTCTAAGACGGCTACTCTTCTCTTCAACAACGGCCAGATGATCATCCTAGACAGTTTCACCTGTATTATTGTGCCATTATCCAAGATGACCACATAAGATGACAACTTTTCTCCTTGATAATCGTTGTCCGTCTTGGACAAGTTCAACTATAATTCAGATCACTATAGGGAGTCCTTTACAGGTAGAATAAATAACACAATAAACGTATGTATTTATTATTCAGATATTATGTGCACTTAAGTGTATTTTCTTTCCGTTCGTTCCTACTTTTTCCCTTCGAATATACTCTAACCACAGGCTTAAGTATTTAACGATCGAAATGACCGTCCGTGCTCAATGAGGTATTTCCAACCCTTGCAACAAAATCGAAAAAGACATTATCTAAGAGAGCTATTTTGTACATAGCGTTCAAGGTCCCATGGTGGACTTCAGTCTTAAATAATATAAACGTGTGTAGAGATTCATGTCAACATCTAGTGTCAACTAAAACAGAGTAAACTCGCCTCTTTCTGCTTTGGGCAGTTTGGTCATTAAGAGTAGAACGTGTAAATTGTAAACAAAATAGAAAACATTAATACATTTAGGTCTATTAAATTTCTTCTTCATTCACTATTTGAATAGTATAATTTATGCAGCATTTGTATATAATATGTATGCTAGTAAAGCTAGTTGTTCAGATTTGCAAAAAAAAATTGTTCATAAAATACCCCCCCCCCCCCAAACACACACACGCTACCAATACTCCGCCCCTCTCTCTCTCTCTCTCTCTCTCTCTCTCTCTCTCTCTCTCTCTCTCTCTCTCTCTCTCTCTCTATCGGGAGAGGGGTGGGTGGTTGGTGGGTACTCTGGTGTGGTTTGCTCTTTCTTTCCTCTCAAACATCCATCATCCTTATATCTCCTCCTTTTTGTGGTTGCTACTTTTTTGTATCCTATAATCGTTGGCACTTATATGACCTTATTGTCATGCAAGTGCCGTAAACTTTTACTAAAACTTAAACTTACAGAGTGAAAAGAAAGTGAGAGAGAGAGAGAGAGAGAGAGAGAGAGAGAGAGAGAGAGAGAGAGAGAGAGAGAGAGAGAGAGAGAGAGAGAGAGAGGGGGGGGGGGAGATCTATACGATATTAAGGCATGTTTGGTAATTGCTTGGTGATGGTGATTTGCTGTGAATGGCATGCATCTCATTACATATAGATCTAATATAATAGATCTATGCTTGTCCTGGTGTCCCTAAATCACCACGAGGGAGATGCTGCTGATAATGATAGGCCCTACCTACTGCATGTATCTCTCTACAATCTTCCTTTAGTTTGGCTGTCTTTCTTTGTCCAAGCACGATACGGCCTTTGTTGTGCGCCAGTGTGCATCTCTTAAATAATAAGAATACGTAAATAGATAAATAGATAAATAAATGTACATAAAGAAAGAAAGAAAGAAAGTACGGAGCGCCTGGGAACAGCGACTCTATTTTTATGGAGCACGGAAAAATTCATCCGGGGAACAGCGACTGCGCTAAACGAATATCTACCCCATCTTGGTGGTATTGATCATGGTATCGATGCGGCCCGCCAACAGTAATATTATGTTTATAAACTGATTAAATGCTACGTTCTATCGTAAAAAAAATTATATCAAATTCGGAACCAGAGTATCAAAATTAACAACATGACTCGCGGGTGACTCTTTTTCTTGTTGGGTTTAGAAGATCGCAAAAAAAAAAAACCCAACGTACATTGTATTTGATCAAGTTTGTATCATGTAGTCATTTTTTTCACAAAGAGGATGGACAACTGTCAGTTTTGCCCATAGAGTGATCTCCTTATTAGTGTAAATCTACGGTTTTTACCTAATCTCGTTATAGATACCTACTGTCAGAATTGGGAGAGGCCAGCTGTGACGCAGAACCCCTTTGAAGTTTGCCACCGTGTGGGTTAAACTTTGCTTGCAAAATTTTTAAAATAGCTATCGTAAGTAAAAACTGATTTCATTTTCGGAATCAGCGTATCAAAATAAGTAACGTGTCTCGCGTTGAACCTAATTTGATGCTATAGGCCTATATCTAAACTTTAGCAAACTTTGACTTTGAATTGGCAATTTCGAATTTGAAGTCACGTATCTCAGCAAATCAACAGCCTGGGGTGAATTCTTGGTTGGCTTCCAGAGTGCCTTTTATTTCTGAAATTTCATCTTAAGGCATGTTAACTAAATAACAAATTATGATAATTATGTTACTTAACTTTTTTTCCCCAGCAATTAGTGAGTGATTTACTGCGGTCAGCTCTTGTTGCTTTTGTCAAAGTGACTGTTACATGTACCGATGTTGTGTCACACGAGGGCCGCTTCTAATTGGTGACTTTGAGCATCCGGCATTTAAATTCTCATGTGTTGAAGGGAACGCAAAACATGGACAATCAGCTCACAGATGGTCAAACTCTGATCTTGTTCTAGTGAGATGTGGCCGTTCTCTCCAGAACTTCCAGAAACAAGTCGTTGTCTGAGCAAAGGGTAAATGTTTTGTCTTCTGTCGGTACCCCTGAGCTAGCAGTTCTTGTGGTAGTTCCTGCTGACACTAACTATACGGGCTGGCAACCAAGGATCGAATCTGAGACAGAATTTATTATTTTCAGAGAAAGATGTTTACTTTCTACTTCGGAGTTTGGTGAGTTGTTTGTTTGTTGTTGGTTGAGTTAGTTTTTGGTGATTTGGGGGGGGGGGGGGGGGGGTGGGGGGCTTACTCCTTACTTGCCCACCTCTTAAGAGACGGACGCGAAATCGAAAGTACTACACCCAATATTTATTTATAAGGGATGTAAGCACGCACAAAAACAACCAACAATAAAAGTTAGTGTTGGCAGTTAATGCTGCTCAAAGATTTGTTCTGTGCAATACAGAGAGTTTGCGTTTAGGTCACTTTCTTAACTCTTTCTGCGCTAGGAATTATGAGGAGCCCACATTATCCAAAGACGCAGGCTACAGAAAGACTGGCGGATCTGCGCTTGGTTCGGGAAGAGTTAAGCCTCATTAACTTAGCAGCGAACTGCGTCCTCCGTCTGAAGTGTTCGCGTCAGAACTAAACAAAATCTCATTCAAGATAATTCCTCGGAACGAAAAGGGAAACAATTTGCCTTGAGGGAGCATATTATATTAGTATTATTGTCCCGTTGTCTGATCGGACAAACCGATTGTCTCGGCTGTTCTCCTTCGGGCCGTCTGTTGGAAGCTGCTACTTAATGTGTTAAGATAGCTTCTTACACCAGTGGCTAATCCAGCCCAGGGGTGTATTCAGCATATGTTTATAATCCCTTTGATTATTATAGGCTAGTTCAAAGTTCATACGATAGTGACAGGGATCTCAATCGATGTCATTATTCAATTCAAGGACGAAAAAGGCCCTTGAAATTGATGAAATTACATAATATATTGTAATCGTAATACATGTATAAGTATAAACTTCGCCTATAGACCCCAGTCCCTTCTATTAATTTCTGTATTACTCTTTTTTGATGGTCCTTGTATTTTTTTTCTTTATTGACAAATGTTTATTAAGGATACTACGTAGTTGTTTTCAGGATATCTTAGAGGTGAGACCTCAAATTCTAGTGCCCTTTTTCCAGAGCACCCAACCAAGTAGGTGTCGAACTGTGAAAACAATCCAACAACCACCATCAAATATTACCTAATGGGGATCCGACCCAAAGCTACCTACCCTGTGGCCCTGCATAATTCCACTTGAGCTTTCTGTGCGCATTTGCACTGTTGGGGGGGGGGGGGGCATGTTAGGTAACAGTATTGGAGGGTAAACGGTTTGATTTCACACAGGTAATCCATGCAGAACAGCTCCAGATTACAGTATAGGTTTGTTTTGGAGACCCCCAAATACTCTTCCCTCCATCAGGGGGTGGGTGAGTGTGTTATTTAGTGAGTGAGTGAGTGTGTGTGAGTGTGTGCGTGTGTGCGTATTAGTGTGTGTGTGTGTGAGAGAGAGACAGACAGACAGACAGACAGACAGACAGACAGACAGACAGACAGACAGACAGACAGACTTCCTATTCGCTCAGTTGGTATAATGCCTTACTACGGAGGAAAGAACCTTTGTTTGAAACCCCACAGGATATCTCCCTTTCCATTGTGACTGTCCTATCGGCAACAGATTTTAAATTCAAAAGCCCGCTTCGTCTCTCCCAGAAGCGTATTGAAATGGGTGTAAAAGCGCATAGCCTATCGTGACGTGCCAAGTCCCTTATATTCTGCAACTACGGTGAAGGAGGCCAGAGAATTACTGGCCAAAAGCCCTGATCCACACCAAGAGATTTGTAAACAAAGTTCTGGTACAGCGTGGGCTTTAGTCATGCAGACATTAGGCTACATTTTGCATTTATGTGGTCTTGTTGGTCTCGTTGCCGTGCACTTTGGTCCACGTAAAGTAAAACAAATAACAAACATATACTGTGTTGAGCACACATGGGCAAGTGTGTTCACGTCCCAAGCCGGAAAAGGGAATTCTAAATGATTATCTCATCCCAGTGCAGGAGAAATTTGGGTGAATTCAGTTGTAATACTAAAGTTCTCAAATGTGAGACTATAGCTGACATAATAGCTAATTGTCATTCAAGGGCACTTCATGACATGGAATATATAAGATCAATTATATCTACTCCCAGCATGGCCAGAAACTATTGATTTTAATTTTGAAGACGGGAAGATTGTTTTTATTTTCTTTAATTTATCAACTCATCTCGGGCGCATTCGTTCTTAACTGGGACAGACTGAAACTTTGTGCGGGTCTCAAATGACCAGAGAACCGTAGTTTGATTGACCTGGTGTATTGTATAAACGATGCCGTAATAAATCTAAAAACCTAACCCACTGAGCTGCAACAACCACTACGACTGTTACTGATACACATGTACTGGCATTGCCATTGCACGCTTTATAATCATGATGACATTGTCACCCCTGTTTTCTGATTGTCGGGTTGTTTGTTTGTTTGTTTGTTTGACAAGGTGCCATGTTTTTTAAGGCATTTTCCTTCTGGTTATTACAACTGCGAATATAATACTGTGTATTAATTTTAATATTAAAGGATAATTCAATAGCGTGTGTGGCACAAAAGAAATTAAGCCAAGCTTCGTTTTTGTGTTTGTGGGGGTTTTTTGTGGGGGGGGTGGGGGGTGGGGGGTTGTTGTTTTTAAAAAAAAGAAATTTGGAAGTTTGAGCACTCTTTATGTAATGGATTGATGCATTATAAAGTTGAGTCCTGCACTAAGTAGGTTTACTTTTCTATCAAAATTATGAATGAGAGAGAGAGAGGGGGGGGGGAGAGAGAGAGAGAGGGAGAGAGAGAGAGAGAGAGAGAGAGAGAGAGAGAGAGAGAGAGAGAGAGAGAGAGAGAGAGAGAGCTATGCATGCACTAATATTCGAACAGAGAAGAAATAACGGTTGAAAGAACAACATGATTAAGCAGTTCTTTGCATTAGGCATACTCGTATACCCTATAGACCTACCTTCACATTGTGCATGCTTCTGCTAATTGTTCGTGCGCTGGTCATCAAAACCCTCAGAGTACAGTCTCCAGATTGAAGTTTTTCCAGTCTTTTGCGTAGTGCATTCTTCTCGAATCATTCTACGCACAAATCTATAAACGAGCTTTGATAGGCCTATGAGTGTTGGGGGAAGAACCAGACTTTAAAAGCGGCGAAATCGTACACAATCTTACCTCGGTCGCAGAAGAGCAGCTGTTTACATTAGCAACCATTGCTGGCCATGTCACTGTATAAGCATTTCGTCGTCTGCTAACCCAAAATAATGTATTTGTACTAGATATTCCTCCAGTTCGGTATCTGCAATCAACTGAAGAGTTCCTTCAAGCCGTGTTGCTCACTACGACACAAAACTACACCTGTCTACAACACAACACGATGACAAGGTTCTCTGCTGCGCTGTGTAAAGGAAATCTTCACCCATAACGACCCCATTTCGATCAATATTTCATACACTAAACGCGCCGCAACTATTAATAGATCTGCACCAGAACTTACTTGCTTATCTAGTACTTTCAAGGGCGGTGTTGTTGACCACTGGTTCTAACAATTAGTGCTGTCAAAGAAAAAGGCTTACTGATTGTTTTTTATACACCATACTCTATTGTGGATTCTATTTCATCTCGTTATCCTGCCATGTGTTGTCTGATTTCCCAGAAGGGAATCTACAATTCGCAGAGGAGAGAGCACGTACAAGACATGAAAGTTTAACTGAAGGCCGAAAAGAAATCAATAAGAAGAGTTTCAAAAGATTCAGAATAAACTTTTATTGCAATTGAAAGTCTGTTAAAGAAGAAAAAGGGGAGGGGGGAAGGGGAAGGGTATAAGCATGAAGAAGAATGTACAATAAAAGTTTAGAAGAAAGAAAGGAGTGCGGACAGGAGGTAGAAATAGGAGGAGGACAGGAAGGGGCAATAAACGGTAATGGACAAAAAGAAGTGTAGGAAACAAAAAGAATATAATATAAGATTAATTATAAACAGGTTTCACGACGTAACCTGGGGTTTTGTTGTGCAGTCAATCTGTTTATCGTGGTACAAATACACGTACAAGTATCGGTATATCAAAGAGGTAGAACTAATAGACTGCCTTAACAAAGAATAAAAAAGGCAGCCTGCTGGATGATTTGTCGTCTGTTTGGGTTTTTTTATGTTTTGTTTGTTTGTTTGTTGCTCTTGGGTTGGGTTGGGTTTTTTTTACTTAGCTGCCCAGTAATAGAGAAGAAATATTTTTTGTTTTGCAATGAACACAACCTTCCTAATTGGTCATCTAGACTTGTCATAGCCTATTTTTAAATAAATTTTTTTCTACTGAAAGTCGAAAAGAGGAGGACGTTTGGTTTGAACATAGGGAGAGTTTTTAAGATACAAATTTAAGGAGGAAAATGTTCTATTGCTTGTTCGCAGACAAGTTAACAGTTTGACAACTTTACTGTCGTTTTTTATCATGGATATTACTTTTCCCCAAGGAAGTAAGGGGGGTATGAATAGTATAACTAAGAGGGTGTTCAACGGTAAGAAATCATAAAATGAATACTTCCAGAGAAAATGAGTTACAAATACATACACAAACAAAAAGACGAGAATAAACTTGATACGATAATTAAAGATTATACCTGGTTCACAGGCCTACATTAAAAGCAGAATTGAATTTATCTTGACTAATCGTATAGAAGTCAAACACATATACACGTACAAGCATCTGACACCCGACTTCTCCTTACATTGTTTCCTACCTACAGTAGACTTAATAATAAAGACGTTAGGCTATCTCACTTACAACAAAACAACGATGACAAAGACATTAATGATTTTATGGACCAGACAAATGAATAATCCGAATGCAAGAGCGAAAGGGGGCTAGCACTCTTAGGATCCATAATAAAAACAGAACACAAGAGTTCATGAGATGAAACATTTGTACAATCATTACCAAAACGAACGGTTGTTGTTTTTGTTGGGGTTTGTTGCTGTTGTTGTTGTTGTTGTTGTTGTTGTTGTTGTTGTTTTTGTTGTTTTTGTTGTTGTTTGTATTTTAAGAGCTACTGCCTCATCAATACAGATGATATGAACCACATTGTCAAAAATTCAGATAAGACATGATTAATATTTTCTATGTGGACATCTTACGTCAAGACTTCACTTATGAAGTAATGCAAATAAGCTGGAAACGCTTTGTGGAAAAAGTAGTTGACTGAAACGTCAGAGTAGAAGTAAAAATTTTAAAAGCTGCAATATTTGAGATACGATCATATAATAATATGGGCATGAATATCTAGGTTTGGTTCCATGAATAGTTGCAATATTTGATATATTATACGATCAGATGGTCATGAGTATCTGGGTTTGGTTTCCAAAACATATTCGGTTTTGTTTTGTTTTGTTGGGTTGTTTTTTTACAAACACAAGGATAGAATCCGATCAAAGACAGATGAGACGAAATTCACAAGTTCTCAGTAGGCCTACACTTCTGTTAGTGTTATGTCTCTAAGCCTATCACAAAGTCACTTGAAATTCGGCTTCCTAAAAGGTCCGCCTCAGATCGAAAAATCTTTTTTGAGAAATGGCCTTTCAATTGGAGTGTTCTGGAAGCCTGAAGATGTCACTCAAGCTCAAAATGCATCTGAAATCAAACGGGAAAAGTAAATTTGTAAATTTAAAGAAAACCAAAAAAACCCATTGAGAATGCAATAATAATTAACCGCGAACATTGATACCGAGCATTACAAGCACTCGGCGCATTTGCGCGCGTGCACACACACACACACACACACACACACACACACACACACACACACACACACATACACACACACACACACACACACATACTCACGCGCGCGCGCGCGCACACACACACACACACACATGTGTAAGTATAAAGATACAGAACTCTGTTTTTAAAAATAATTCTTTCTGTTATTTGCTTTAAATCTGCTTACCTGCGCATCTGAATTGGTGTGCCTGTTCTTGTTGCATATTTGTCTGTATATGTGTGAGTCTCCACCGTACGTGAGTAGATGGGAGGATCCGCTCTTCAAAGATGCAAGTTGTAATTCCCCATTTTCTAGAGGATCAAATTGTGGGAAAGATAAAAAGCAGTCTCACTGATCAACAAGATTTATTTTAAAAATGATACATGAGTCTTTAGTGATCAATGTAATATGCTAACACAAAATATAAAAACTGTAAATATTGTCTAACACGCACAGAGGGAACACGCACATAGCGAACAAGAACATAGAAAACATGCACATAGGGAATGTCACGCAAGTTGATAAAACGCAGAGTGAATACGCACATATAAAACACACACCCAACGATCACGCACATAGGAACAAGCACATACTGAACACGCACATATCGAACACGCACATATCGAACATGCACATAGCAATCATTCACATAGAGAACATGCACTTACCGAACATGCACATAGTGAACACACATGTATAGCGAACATGCATCTAGCAATAATGCAACTAGCAAAAATGCACATAGAGAACATGCATAAAATAATATACCAATAATGCACATAGACAACATGCACACAGCGAACATGCACATAGCAATAATGCAACTAGCAATAAAGCACATGGCGAACATGCACATAGCGAACACACACGTATAGCAAACATGCACATAGCAATAATGCAACTAGCAATAATGCACATAGCGAACATGCACATAGCAACCATGGACATAGCAATCACGCACATAGAGATCTGAGTTTTAGGTCCCGAATTTTGTCTTTTAAATGAACATAGATTTTGTTTGTTAATAACATAATGTGTACATAGCGAACTTCGTGCATTACAAAAATATTTTCGTCTCGATTTCGCTCTGTGCGTGATAGATTGTATATAATTTAATATCACTTAGGTTCCATAATATAGAGCTAGAGCATAAAACTGGAGTTATCAATAAGGTACACTTGCCATGCCTAACAAGGCATTCTATCGAAAAACACAATCATATTCTTGTTTCCTTCATCAGCTATCCAATGCTTTAAATTCATAAGGTTTTCCCTCATTTGAACTATGAGCAGTTCCTTCTATACATAGGCCTACTCGTTGCACCATCAATGTGTATAATTTGTTTCATTCCCCCTATAGAGCATTCTTGAACATATTTCGTTTGGGGGGGGGGGGGGGGGGTTAAGATTTTCAACCCATCTGGCTGTGTTTTGTCGGCGTTGATGGACGCCCGACCGTTCTATTTACTGAACTGCGCTGAAATAGAAGTCTACATCGAAACCAGATTGAACCTTTATCCCGCATCCCACTAAAACAAACAAACTACGCATACACACATACACTTACAATTACGCATACACACACACATACTCACGCATGCACACACGCAAACGCATACAGGGTATGGGCTACGCGCGCACGCACGCACACACACATACACACATACACGCACATACACGTGCGAGTGCACCTGCACATGTACGCACATCTGTATACGCACGCAAATACCTTCCTACAAAATTTGATTAACAGATCTATATTTTACCTACTGTTCTTAGAAAAAGTATAAGGGTGCGGGTGGAAAGGGGAGGGGGGTGGGAGCCCACGTTCAGTTCATGATTCCACGCTTTCAAGAAGCGAACGTACTCCCATTTTGATCCTCTTTTTCTAAGGCTGACATACCCCCCTCCCATATTTTTTTTCCTTTTTTTTTTTAACCTCATGACAGTCTCTGCCACACTTGTTGCAGATGAAGGTTGAAGGCGGGTTGAAGGCTCAATTTTGCTCCCTCTCTTTTCTGCGGCTTCCTCTATCCATTTCCTGCTCCTATCTTGTCATTAAATTGTGTCAATGGTAGCGTAGAAAACCTACATTTTTTTTTCTTTAAAAATCACATAAGAAAAGGCTTGTCGTTGTTACCTGGTGAGATCCTAGTGCGCCCCAGACAGTGGGGGAGGGGGGAGTCCGCCACAGAAGAAGATGACCACGTACTGGAAAGGTATGCAGACAAAGGTGTTCTCCAAGGCGCCGCCACTGAAACACTCTGGAAGGTCAGAGGAAACAAAACATAAGTTACACTTAGACTGCAATATTTGTTACCCCCTCACCCACCCCTTCCAATATAAATAAATAAATAAATAAATTCAACAACAAACGTTACGCAAGTCACACAGCTACTTAAAGACTCGGATGTTTGATAACCTACATTCACTAGAATGTAGGCCATGACCGATTGTTTTGTCATCAGTGATGTTATGAGCGCATGTCACCAAGCTGAAAAAATGCTCATAGTGTAAAATGAGGTCACAATATGGCTACGAAAAAAATGCAAACTGGGTATTTCTTGAGCATGCTAGTTGGTGAGCAGTTTTTATCCTCTGAAAAGTGTTCACGCGACCGAGAGGTAAAAAGTGACAGGACGTAACGCTTTCTCCAGGACGTAACGCTTTCTCCAGGACGTAACGCTTTCTCCAGTTGAGTGTTTTTGAGCCGGCGGCCATGCCAAGACTCAGCGGAGCAAACCAAGAAAGGGCTATCGGCAGATTGCAGGCTGGAGAGAGTCCAACAGATGTGTCTATTGCCATGGGTGTGTGCCTCTCAACAATATGTCGACTCCGAAGACGTTTTCAAGTTACTGCAAGTACTCGTGATGCTCACAGAACTGGCCGACCACGAGTGACGTCAGTGCGCCAAGACCGTGCCCAGCTGCGGAATCACCTGCAAGACAGCTTCATGTTTGCTAACATATTGGCCGGAAATCTCGTTGGAAACCATGGGAGAGCCATTTCCGGTCAGACTGTGCGCCGCCGGCTTCGAGAAGGACAACAGCAATGTCGTCGACCTTTGATACGTGCAGTCCTCTCTGCAAGACATCTGCAACAACGTTTGACATGGGCTCAGCAACATGTGAACTGGACCTGGCATCAGTGAAGAAATGTCCTATTCACTGACGAAAGCCGTTTTTACGTCAGTCGAGGAGATGGAAAAATCCGTATAATGGAGAAGACCCGTCCAACGGTTTGCTGACAACAGCATCCTGCAGTTCGGTGCATGGGGTGGCCCCAGCATAATGATCTGGGGTGCAATCGGCCTAAACCAACACTTGGGACCCGTTGTTTTCCAAAACATTGGACCTGGTCAAGGTAACGGTGTTATTGCACAACGCTGCGTCCAACAGGTACTGGCATCTGTGATCATACCTCATTTCCAGCAACACTTGAATCTTATCCTGCAGCAAGACAATGCTCGAACCCATAGTGCGAGAACTACAGCAGCGGTCTTACAGCAGAACAATGTCAGGGTGCTGCCATGGCCCTCAATGAGCCCAGACCTCAACCCGATAGAACACTACTGGGACCACATCCACAGAGAACTGAATCGTTTTCAGCCAAGACCAACAAAAGCACCTCAGCTGCAGCGAACCATCACACAAATTGGTGCAAAAATGAACCTGACCATCATTCATACACTTGTGAGGTCAGTGCCAAACAGATGCCAAGCTGTTGTGAACGCAAATGGCGGGCACACACACTATTGATTCAAAGTTGACATTACCGACTTATAGACATACCCTTTAACTCTAGTACATCATTTTTCACTGCAAATTCAACTTGTTTTTTTTTCTCTAACGGGACTCTTAATCCTTTCAGAGGAATCCTCTTCAATAAATGTGACAAAAAATCAGTAAAATGACAAATTACTTACCAATGTCTTTACCTTCCTTTACTTTGTATATTAATTGCGGGGTTTTTTTTTGGTTGTTGTTGTTGAGTATAGATAGATAAATAAATAAATAAATTTAAAAAATACGTAAATACATAAATAAATACATAAATAAATAAATAAATAAATAAATAAATAAATAAATAAATAAATAAATAAATAAATAACAAATCAATCAATCAATCAATCAATCAATATAACAATCAATATCATCATAAGGTCTTTCTGATCACAAAAACATTTTACATGTTTTCTTTTCTATCAGATTGCTGCTATTGTGCGCGCGTGCATATGTGTGTGTGCGTGTGTGTGTGTGTGTTTGTGTGAGTGTGTGTGTGTGTGTGTGTGTGTGTGTGTGTGTGTGAGAGAGAGAGAGAGAGAGAGAGAGGGGGGGGAGAGAGAGAGAGAGAGAGAGAGAGAGAGAGAGAGAGAGAGAGAGAGAGAGCAGTGACACAGTAGGCATGATCAATTTGTTGTGTCACAGGAAGTAGTGAAAGTACGTTCGTACATTGTTAATCCCATTTTTTTAAAGTATATCTTATCTTACCTAATCTTACCTTACCTTACCGTATCTCATCTTATCTGATCTTACTTTATCTTATCTTACCATATCTTATCTTATCTTGCCTTATCTTATCTTATTTTATCTTATGTCATCTTATCTTATCTTATCTTATCTTATCTTATCTTACGAAAGAACAAGTAGAACACATCCAGAATGCCGCAGATAGAGGGGATGATCTGAAAGTTCTCCTTCTCCTCCTCCTTCTCATTCCCCCAGACCACACACGCGGTTGACAGCACAATGACAAGAAGCAACAGCACCTTCATGGTTCTGCACTCCCGCCTGGAAAGTCACAAAAGGAAAGTTATTGAGAATACCACCACCGCCGCCACCCCCCCCCCCCCCATACACACACCAAAAGTGTTTCTTCCTATTGAATTTTCATGACAGTAATATTATATAATTTGTGTAAAAGACCAAGCGGAAGAGCACGTGAAACCTGAAGAAGAGTCAGAGAAATTGAAGTACAGAAAAGTCGGAAGACATTGAATAGAATCAAGAGACTAACCGAGGATAGGGTAAGGTGGAAAGTGGAAAGTGTTTGTTCGTGGCTGATACTATGATCCAGGGTGAGAAAGGCAATGATGATGATGAAGCAAATATAATTTAGATTCTATGTATATCTGCAAAATATGTGTTTACCATTCCTGTACAGCCGAGAACAATTTTCCACTTGGACAATAAAGTATCATCTTATCTTATCTTTTCTTATCACAATGAACTTTAGGTCTATACAAAAAGTACGACATTTTCAAGGTGGTCTGGGATTTCTTTATAGTTTGTTTGTTTGATTGTTGTTGGTTGTTGATGTGTTGTTGTTTTATTTCATTTATTTATTATTATTTTATTTTATTTTATTTTTTTGTGGGGGGGTATTTGTTTGTTTGTTTTTGTTTTTGTTTTGTTCTTTTTGTGGGGGGGGGGGTTGGGGGGTGTTAAACCAAAAAGCAAAAGGTGTACAGCCCTTTAATCGCCAACTTGAGCGTAAGATGATTTGTTTAAAATATTAATGATATTGCTTTTTAATTGTATCAAGAATCCATCTTCGACAAAATGTGGGGTTTTTTTTAGTTTAAAGGAGGCATGAGGAAAGTGTTTGATTTCAGTCCTTTACTTCTCTAACTCAGCTCAATATTTGAGCTTCATGATTAATAAAATAATAGCATAGCTCATTTCTCTTATTATAGATCTATCTGGAAAAAAAATTTTAAACTGTCTCCACATACTGTGACCCAAAAGTGTCGTTTTTCGTGATTAAACATGGTTGAGTAGGTAGTTGGCTGTTGCTCTGGTGTGGTTTGCTCCTTCTTTCCCAGCAATGATCAACCTCCTATCGATGTTATCCCTTCTCCTTCTGTATTGCTTTTGTTACTCTCTCGCAAAACTTCTAATCTTCTGCACTTATATTAATGGCCTAACTGTGCTGCAAGTGCCGTAAAACGCTTACTAAATCAAACATGGTTAAGCTGATTCTTACGACACAGATATAGTACGGTTGCACCTGACGTCATCAAGAGGCCCTTGCTGCTGGTGGTAAATGGAAGCTTTAAAAAAATAATTAAAGATTGTTACGTTTTCACTTTTTGTGTGTATTGTTACAAATTTGTGTTGAAATCAACAGAACTCAAAATTATGATAATGACGGAATTTGCCTTACGTGAAGGAAATCTTGTTCGCTGTTGCCACTCCAAGTTCAACTAATTCCAAGACGAAACACAACGGTCAAACACGAAACTACGAACATCTGAAACTTTGGTAAATGGAGCTGAAATTGGCAACACTGTATTTAGCGTCTTTCTGGGATACAAGGTATTAGAAATCGATTACGTTAATCCTTTGCGATTACCTGTAAGTTCCGTTTAGGTATGTTCGAAGGCGAGAGTGTAACGAACCTATCTCATTGGTCCAGGAATAAATTATGTGGAAAAGAGAGGGCGGGTACATATGGTGCACTGAGTTGGACAGTCTTGACAAAGAATGTGACCTATCCCATTCTAATTTTGGTGACCCACTATTAATTGTTAAGGTAGATCTGACAAGGCATAAATAGGGGGCTCTCGTGGTCAAGAGGTACGGTGTTCACCTCTCAATCAATAGGCTCAGGGTTTGAAACCTTACTGCGACGGAAATTTTTCTTCTCTAAAAATGTCCCATTTCGCCTCCTTTTCTGCTCTCTGACCACATTCGGTCGTCTGCTTTCGTCTCCGCTTTCTGCTCCCACCCCTCCCCTTCTTTGTCCCCTTCTCTGGGCTCCTGACTCTTTCTGCTGCCTTTCTACTGCTACTCATTGGCTCCTTCTTACTGCTATCTTTCAGCCATACCCTTGATCTCAGGGTAAGATCTAACACCAAGTTTTTTCGGATGAGGGCGAAAAATCTCGGAGTCCCGTGTGCAAGTTGCGCTCATTAAAGATCTCTTGGTGGTCCAAAATCGATAAGAGAAGGCTTCAGCCGCCACCCGGGGAAAATTCAAATTTAATTCCTACTAAACTGATTATGCTTGATGTGTCCTGCGCACTCATTATATGACCCTATGCAGTTGCGAGCGCAGTAAAACACTTACCCCCCCCCCCCCTCTACCCCCCAAAATGCATTAACACAGTTTTGATCTGTAATAGCATTTTATCAGGGAGGGGCCGTTTTCGACGTTCAGTAGAACTTTAAAAAATGGAGGGGGGGGGGGGGGGGGAGGTGGTATAGAGAGTCATTGAAGGTTAAATACATTGTAAATTTCAATTCTGCGTTTGCCCAATAAGAGATCAACATAATAATTGAGATGGCACTTAAAAAAAGAAGATTTTAACAGATAAACTGCGCAAAACACTCGCACCAAAACTCTAGACTACACTTCAATAGGCAACACGAAAACTCAGCAATCAGTCATGACTTACACAAGACTTTAGAACAAATTAAACTTGGCCCAACGCTACCTTAGAATAACAAAGTTCTGTCTGTTAAATACCTAGTTTTGATAAATTTGACGTCAAAAAGAGTTTCACATTAACGTGATCTCAAGCTTTTTCGAATGCTATTCTTTGAATATGTAGATAACGACTCTTAATAATCTGACGATTTAGAATGAGCAGATAAAACATTTTTTTTTATCTCATAGTCTTTTTAACTCAAGAAGGCCAAAAATGGCAGATAGGACTTTGTACTTCTGGGGTAGCGCTATTCCACCTAGCACTTATATGTAGACAGGAAATCCCGACTTTCATTACTAGGCCCTAAGCAGAAAAAACATCGAAACATAAAAGGGCATTCTTGAGCCAGAGATATTATTTGTGGAGGTGTCATGGCTCCCCACCCACATTCAAAGAATGGCTTTAAATTGGGGTCCAGACTCTTAACTAATTATCGATCGTTCACAACTAAACAAGAACGTCAATCCATTTTTTGAAACTGAAGCCTGGTTAGAATTCATGATCAGCGGACCAGGAGAGGTGCTAAAGAATAGTTCTGTTTGGGATGTGAGAAGTTTACTTTCCTTAGGGCTGGTTTTTAAATAACATTGTCTTTAACTTGTGTTCGCCCTAGAACAGCTCCTCTTACTGAGAAAACAGTTTTATTACAAACAAGTTTCTTGCGAGACCGTTGGTGGAAAAAGTGACTAATGGTCAAGCGTGGTGACTGGCTTTGGTATTTGTCCAACGGACAATCACAGTTTACCTGAATCTGCATTGCATCATCTTCTGGGATGAGGCAGATAATCTACACTGAACTCACTAAAGAGATCATCCCTTGCCCCACGGCTGCCTTCTCTAATGGTAAATTATTCGTGAAGGGAAGCCGTATGGTAATTGCACCGCCATACCTACCAACAAACATTGATACACACACACTCATTGTTCATTTTCCAAAGGGGATACTTTCAATGCACCACTGCTAAACAGGAGTTTTATTGTAAGTATTCTCGCATAGTTTGAGATCATTATAATTTGATTGAGTGAAAGAAAAACTATTTAAGAGGATTCTATTGATTATGTTGGTCGTTCTTTCATTTCCGCTTTCTTTTTAAGTCATAAACATAAATAATAGATAAAGGAAATATGAAAAAAACACCAGATTACAGTATATTACACACCTACATTAATAATGTTTTATCTTTCAAGTATCTCTTCCATTGCGTTACCAACAATACCAGAGAGTATCTCAGTTTCAAGATAATGGATGAATATTATTATTATTATTTATTATTAGTCAGAGCTTAGACGGACATTGTGCAGGACCGGTAGTGTTAGGTTGTTATTCAACATACACGAATTGTTGCTTTCGTGCTTTCACCTTGTGTGGTTTTTGGAACGTGCGTGAGAAGTATATTATTTAGTTAAGGAAAAACTACACATTTAAAAGTATAAAAAACCTACCGACTTTAAATAACGTCAAAGTATTTAGATACCTAGATATTTGAAATAATAATGAGTACAGTGTATGTTCCTTTTCTTGAGTTATAGTGACGTCTAACTCAAAGTCTGGGGGCTTTTGCGGTCTAGAGGTTATGGTGTTTGCCTCTCTTTCAATAGGTCCAGAGATCGAAACCTGACAGCGACGGAAACATTTTTTCTCGAAAAAGTTCTCCTTCCACCTCTGTTCCTCCTCTCTAATCATGATATGTCCGACTGCTTTCGTCTCCTTTCTGCCCCCCCCCCCCCACCCCCCTTCCTCCCTCCTCTGGCCTCCTGACTCTTTATGTGGCCTTTCTACCGCTACTCTTTAGCTCCTTACTGGTGTCTTTCAACCACACCCCTGATATTAGGGAAGGAACGATCAAACACCTAGTCTAGCCTTCTCAGATAAGGGTGAAAAATCTCGGAGGTCCTGTGTGCAATTTACGCGCGTTAAAGATCTATAGGTGGTCCAAAAATCGTTAAGAGTATGCCCCACCTGAGCAAACGTTAAAATTAATTCGTACCAAGCTGAAAATGTTTAACTATGTGTCCCGCGCACTTATATGACCTGTATGCAGTCGCGAGCGCCGTAAAACACTTACCAGACAACAACATACATAACTCAAAGTCCGCTGTGCCACTGTCGTCCTTCTGTGGTATAACGACAGCCGTGCTTAGAGTATAAGTACAAGGACGCCCAGCTATAACCCCAGAACTCTAAAAGATCCCATAATCTCTTCCAACAAAACGGGTTCAGAAACGTTCTATTCTGTTAAAGATTGGAACCCAAGTCCTCCGCTTGGTAATCAAAAGTCATACCAATTGAGGTTAGAGAGAAGCCTCTAATGCATTGGGTACCGGTGTGTCAAAGCTGCGAACAGTATAAGGATATTCAAACTCCTGAATTCAGTGTTTTCATTTGTTTCACGACTCGGTGGAATTGGGCGCTGGTCAATTTTTGGGCATATAGAGTTATTGGTATTATCTTAAAGGTTGTTCATTTGTCTTGCTTGTGATGAAAACAATATCCTTTTCTTGAATAGAAGTCGAGATACTTGCGATTGAAGGAGGTGGGGGTCGTCCGGTTTCAGAGGTAAAATTGGCGAGAAAATGACCACCAAAGTTGGGTAAATTCCGTAGCTTAAGAGTCCTTGGAAACTGCAAATCTAAATTCCTATCCGTAGGCTGTGGGGTCATTTTGTACCCCCAGGGGTTGTATTCTTCACAGTTTAGAATACTTCTTGTGCAAAGATCTCTTTGAAGCTTTCACTATTTCTCAAAAAATCATTTGACAGACTGCTGTGCAAAGCGTACGGATCGGATTAACGAGTAAATTTCCTTTTGGAAAGTGGTGGCACAGAGTTCCCCACGTCGTATGGATACGATAGCAGAACACGACGTAAGGATAGGGTTAATCAACGTCTTTCAATAAAAACCCCACATAAAAGTGTTTTTGGTGAACATACAGGGTGTTGAGACCAAAGAAAATGCGAAACAATTTCCAAAACTGGCCGAAAAATGCTGATTTCTCGGATTTCATTATTTTGACGAGCGCCTGATTTTTTCACCACGATGCCTCACATTTGTTTCTGGGCATCAATCGTTACTGTTGCTAATAAAATTCGGACTTAGGTGCGCAAGACCGTTGTTCAATTTCCGGTTAACGGGACCTTTGTAAATATAAGGATTTTAGAAGGTTTTCACGGCTGTCCGCCAAAATAATAATTGGTCACATCGTATCGGAGGTTTTACAAATCGATCCAATACTTCGTTGGTCTGTAAAACATATATCGGACAACTGGTCTGTCTACTTAAACAAAGATAACACTAAAAAAATAGCTCGATCCTTCGTCTGAAATACTTTAAAACGCCCGAATAATTTCCTGTGTTGACACCTACAATCATCGCACATGTGTTGCTGTTCAAGGGCATTGACTTATCTACATAAGGAATAAGCAACCATTATTCATTTAAAAAATCCGTTCTATTTTGGAAATTACTCTAAACTTTTTACCTCAAACGTGTATGTTCGAACAATTTCGTTTGTTTTTTGGGTTGTTGGGTTGTTGTTGTTGTTGTTTTTGTTTTGTTTTTGGGGGGGGTTTAGTTTGTTGTTGTTGTTTTTTTAACATCAACTAAATATTTAGCGAGAACGTTTCCATTTGAGGCTCTGTACTGAATCTTTGTCGTTTTTCTTTCAGGTCTCAGAGACAAAAAGTCAGGACAGAATGGCCGTTTCACGTCTGCTCCTAGCTCTGTGCTTGATCGCTGCTATCCTCCCAATGGCGGAAGCGCAATTCATTGAAGAATTGTTGTGCTTTCTCGTACAACTCATCGATAGCATCTCAGGTTAGTAAATGTCCACAGGACACGAATATAGCTGTCTGCGAGCGCAAATGCTTGTATGTATTTGTCTTTGCCACAAATGGGTAAGCAAGACGATGCATATTAATATGCTTATAATTGTATTGGTGGAGTGGGAGGCAATAAGGAGATAGCCGTAGGGTCATTAAACAAATAGCATATTTGAAGATGAGATCATATCCCTAAAGATATTTTTTAAATGTAGATTTCAGTGTGTTGGGGATTTGGGAGTGTAGAGAAAGAGAGGGAGAGGGGGGAGAGAGGGGGGGGGGGAGCGAGAGAGAAGGGGGGGGAGTGAGAGGCGGAGAAGGGGGGGAGGGAGAGGGTTGACCAGATTTTGAGAAACGGGGTAATCCGTATTAATTTTAAAAAATAGGTTTTTAATTCCAGTTTTATAGCACTGATTATACAAATTATAATGTCATTTTAGTGCCGAAGATTAGAGGTGTTAATAGAGATTAACATGCATACCTACAAAGAGAAGTGAGGGAAGATATAAGGTCGATATGTTTGATATAAAAAAAGAGAAGCAAACAACACCAGAGCACTCGCCAGCTTCCCTCAGAAAGTGAGAAGAAGGGGATGGGGTATACTTTGACTGGAACGTAGACATTATGGAATTTTTTTCTTACTTAAATTGACAAGGGAACCCTCACAGGAAAGGAGGAAATATTGTTTGAAATTCGGATTTGTTCAACCATACTGAAATGCTTCACAATTTTTAAATCTTTTTTGCTGTATTTTTTCCCCAACAGGTTGCGCGACACAAGACACTCCCTTCTGCAGCATAGTCGACTCAATTATTGATCCTCTTTGTCCAGGATCTTCCAACTAAACGTACTGTAAGTCACAGTCGTTTTGTTTTGTTTCCTGTGCGATAACCAGGGGCACATCCTCTTGCATGTGTATGGTGTTGTATGGTGAAATGGTAAAAGTTTCCTTAAGAGGAATGTTAACCTGTTCTTATGCACAATAGAATTGTAAATGGGCTGATTTATCAATATTATGCTCATACTGTGCCGGAACAACTTAGATCTAGGGGGAACTGCAGCTTTTTCTTTCCTCATCCTTACTATTGTCATTTCCTCTACTTCTTTTGTATGTTTGTCTCACAGAGTTAGCCTGATTCCCTGTTTGGGCTTCTCTGTTGACATCCACCACTTGGCGCCCATATGACCTTATGCAGTTGCGAGCGCCGTAAAACCTTACTAGATCAAAATAAAACAGAGGTAAAAGTTTAATGCCTCGATCAAAACTATTACGTTATTTTCCAGGCGGGGCCTCCGAGTTAAACATCCATTTCCGAAAAGACCGAGGCAAAGGGGAAGTTCGTGTAAAATATCTTTGCCAAGGACACAACGTCGGACCGAGCTGAGGCTCGAAACCCGTAACCCGCAATCTCAAGTTTATGAATCCGGTTGCCAAACCACAAGGCTACCGACGCCACCTTGCTGTTCACTGATATGATAAATAGAATAATGTTTTAGACAAGCCAAATGTCGGTTTTCTTAGACGTTTCCCCGATCTTTGAGTTCTCATACCAAGTTAAATTTTAGTTTAAGTAGAGGTTTTACGGCGCTCGCGACTGCATAAGATCATATGAGCGCCAGAAGATTAGAGCTGTTACAAGAGAGTAACAAACATAAAAAAGATGAAGGGGAGATAAGGACGATAGATGTTTGATAGGAAAGAAGAAGCAAACCACACCAGAGCACCCGCCAACCACTCACCATATCAAGTTACAAGGGCTGACCGAAAAGTAAAATGAAAAAGGTCATAACTTTTTAAAAAAGAAGAAAGTAGCAAGAGTTTTTACAGTCTGTGAACGGAGTTGAAAAGGCAATTTGTGTTGCATATTCTTGCCAAAGTACCAGTAGTAAAAACAATTAAATGTATTCATTTATGACGTCACATCAGCATGGTGATCTTCATATTATGGGAATGGTCAAGGGGAGAAGTGCATGATGTCTAATGGTTTTCACATACGAAGGGCAAGAATCCCGCAATTTTTAATCGAACGCATTGCTTTTTTGTGGTGAAAATACAATAAAATGTAAGCAAGTATATTACCGACGCCGTTTATTTATGTGGGACGGAATAACTTGGAAGACGAGGCACCTGTGGGCGCCCGAAAACCTCTAAGTCAGAAGTTTGTTAGAGTAAAGAGAAGCACGACATTGATACGATAACAACAGCAAGGGATAGCAACACTGACAGACAGTAATAACATAGGGAAAGAACAGAAGTAACACCTCCCACTGGCGCCCTCTAACGACCTGCAAGGTCAGAGATCAACGCTCAGTGAGTTGGCATTAAATTAGGACAGCTTTCAGTCTTTTTGTGGTTAACGGTTCAATCAACCCCAAAACTGTCAGGCGGCAATGCTTGTTGGGGGACATATAGCTCAGGCTCAAGTGATAGACTACTGTAAGTTGGGGATATTGTTATGGCTCCAGAATCCCTTAATTAATAGATTAATGTTTAATGAAATTGTCGGAGCCATTGTGTATCGTAAAATCTCAGCTTGATAGGTTCCAAACGACCGATAGATACCTGGACAATGAGCCAGGGTTCCGACACAACTATTACCCACGCGGCGAATCTGACTAAAATGACTGCCCCCATACAGAGTACAGCTGGAAGCCGTGTCTGAGCTAGCCTTGGTTCAGTGGAATACAGTATCCTAGGGAACAGCTGATACAGGTGCTCGATCCGATTGAACTCCGGGTGGGAAGCAAGCTCGAGCCTTGTGCGCGCTACGGCGAAGAGCCGAACTACCACACCACAGACGCTGATAAGAAAACGTCCCTAAAGAGGATTCCCAGTCACTTGGCCTACAGTGTAGGTCCTCCAGGCGTTGTCAAGCAATTCAAGACTGACTCAACGTGATGAGTCTGCTTTTTGTGGCTGCTTGAGCTCTGGCACACCATTACCTTAGATTGTGGAAGACACTAGCTCGAATCCGAAATCACTTTCAAACTGGGACAACTCGGGAGTTTTCATGACTCCCTAATCCATTTGGCTTAGTCCTGATGGATAAGGAAGCTAGATCTGAGATCTTTCCAATCTCTTGAAAAATCCCACAGTGTTGAAATCGGCGTTAAATACGTTATCTTGATAAGCAAGAAAATATTCAGTAGATCAAGGATCCACTTCCACATACCAAGGTAAAAGTGTACCATACTTTCAAAACTCATGCAACCATAAAAGTAGACTCTATACGTGGAGCCAAATTTGAATTACTTGGCAATGACTTGAGAACCTACTCCAGGGGTGTCAAATGCAAGACTACGGGCTGCATTGGGACGGGCGAACAAATATATCCTGCCAACGAGAGAAATTTTAAAGTAGTCCATCCTCAGAATCTCCAAAATACAGAACCTTACCCCAAACATAAAGAACGTGTTGCTAAGAAAAGAAATCGTCTAGACAAATTGAGTTTAACAAACATCCCTGATCTACTCTGATGGCTAAGAGAAAGGGGTAATAATTTATTTTAAATTATAGCTTATCTATCAACCACGATTATTTTGGTTTCTGTTTTCAGGAGGTGCCACAGAAGTAAACTGTCCAGACAGCTTGACAACTGAGAGAAAAGAGCCTGGGCCCAAGCACCACCTGCAAAATTAATTGAGTATCACTGACAAATTTTAGAGTTTTGATTTGATTCATGGTTTCGTCTCTGCGATCCTTTTATATCACATCAATTTCAGTGGTGACAAAATCGATAGTATCGATTCAAGCAATGAGACGAAGCTCACATTTGCCACTTTCGTGAACACCTTTCTCCGTGGCATCAGGGTCTACTGGATGTTTTGCAATTTAAGTTACAGCTGGTTCTGTTCTTTTCTGTGGTTGTTTTATTTGGTTCCTTTTCGCTGTTTTCTTCTTTCTCTTAGCGTCGCTGTTCTAAAAGAGGGACTTCGGATAATTTAATTTTCTCCTAGGATATACCAACGAATGAATTAAATGTATGTAAATGCAATTGTGGAAATAAAAGCAGACGTTTGATCTTACAATACTGATGATTCCATTCTTTTCTGAGTTTTTGCATTGGTTTGCTTTGCTTTGCTTTGCTTTTTTTGTTGTTGTTTTGTTTTCGATAGACAAGTGTACTCACGGGCACTTCTTGCATTGCATTTGTTTTATTGTTGTTGTTTGTTGTTTTGTTGTAGTTGCTGTTGTTTTTGTTTTGTTTTTAACTGTACCATGGTATTCATTAGGTTCAACTCTTGATTACGCAAGTCAAAAACTGAACTACTCAGCAATAAGTGGGCCAACCTTTGCTCTTTGTACTGACATTATTGGAAAGTCAATGTTTTTACTTGGACCATAGATTTATATTATGACATCAAAGACTGTGCCCTTTGGCGCGCTTCTGGTTCACTATCAAGCTCACTATTTTGACTCAATTTGGAGCTAAATGAAGGGCAAAAAAGAAAAAAAGGAGGGGGGGGGGTGTGTGCAGCGCGCAGTCGACTGTAACGACAGTTGGTTTGCACGATGCGCATGCTTCTCAGAGAAGTTTTTCTCGAGAACAAATTGCGACGGCCAGGACGGTGCACAATTTATGAGATGGTAGAATTCAAATCTATGGCTCGGGCTCTCCATTGCACAATCACCATTGCCTTCCGCACTGAGGGGTAATTCATAACAATGGCAATTTGAGCAAGTTGAAGGTTTCTGCACAGGCGTACACATACACACACACACACACACACACACACACACACACACACTCACTCGCACACACACGTACACACACACACAAAAACACACACACATACACACACACACACACATACACACATGTGCACTCACTGGCATACACATTTGTGTTCCCTCTAATCGACCCTTAAGCCTTGCACAGAGAGTTTTTCAGTCACAACTTTATTTCTTTTAATTGAGGAAAGCTCAAAGGCATTCATCTCCAAAGAACATTTGAAAACTGAATAGACACAACTAAAACTAAGAGTGATCGACAAGCATTTAAAGGTACTCAAAACGCCAACAATGTGCGAACCCAATCTCTAAAATTGCGTGGTAGCTGGTTCAGATTTGGAAGTCGGTCCGTCTTGTATCTCCTCGCTTTGTTTTCCTTTTGGGGGTTGTCTTTCCTTGTTTGTTTGTTTTTTCGTCACGAGTAATCTGCCTTTCTCGATTCTCGCTAAACATTGTTTCCCTTGTCTGTTTTTTTGCCACGAGCCGCCGTCTCTCCCATTTGGTTTTCCCCAGTTCTCTCCCCTTCCTGGCCGCCTGCAGAGTCTGACCCCCGTCCAAGTCCACCCTCTTTCTCATAGACCTCCATTTTATGTCTCAAGTAGTTCAGACGCAAGCCCTTGACACCTCCAACTCCGGCCTTCCCGCCGTCTGCCTCGTGGCCCAGGTCTCCGGCTGAGGGAGGCGTGGGGCCCAGAACGGTCTCGTCTCCCTCTCCCTTGGGCCCCAAGACCTCGCTGAGCCCCGACAGGACGGACATGTTGCTGTCGGTGACGTGAAGAGGGTCGAAGTCGGTCTCCGTTGTGCAATCGATGCCGGCCGTTTTCGTGAACACCTCCTTAATCTGTCGAACAAGACGGGTCACCGTTTAGGGTTACACCAGACTTTTACCCCCTTCTCAATCAAGATTTGGTTGTCAAGTTTAGAATTACATTATACTTATTCAAGCTATACCCCCTTGTCAATTTGAATATAGTCGTTAAATTAAGAGCTACGTCAGACTTTTTATCTCTTCTCTATTCAGATTTGGTAGTCAAATTTAGGGTTTGGTCATATTATTTATATCCTCTTCTCGATTCAAAATTGGTCGTCTCGTTTAGAGTTACTTAATGCTTTTTCTCCCTTCTCAATTCAGATTCGGTTGTCAAGTTTAGCGTGACGTCAGACTTTTACTCCCATTTCAATTCAGTTTTGGTTGTCATGCACAGCGCTATAACACCTGGCTAGTCAAGCTGTGCTGTCAAAACCGGTATTCTGCCTCAGCAGCTCTCGAAATTATTGCACAAGACGCACTTCAGTTTCTGACAGAGTTGGAATTTTACACCCCAGATAATATAATCATGAATATGCTTTTCACAAGTAAAGTTGTCCATCTCCGATGTTTAATTAATGCCAATTGACATAAGCTGTTAAAAATATAAGTTACAATGTGAAGCTGGGTTTCATGGTAGAGGGAGGCAGCGGCCGGGGGGAGGGGGGGGGGGAGCTGTTTTACCCCCTTTTCCATTTTCCACACAATTTACAACATACCTATTTCAGAAACATAACCATAGAACATTAACATTTTCTCACAACACGGTTGCAGAAAAAGATTCGAACACGTGTCCGTTATGCCGTTTCCCTGTCATGAGCAGACTGGGAATGGTATGGTTATAAAATTATTTTTAACGCTCCTTTCAACATTCTTAGTTTTTGTAAGAGGCGGAACTTGCAATTGAACGACAGGACTCGATCCACGGATAGGCATTCGAACCAGGGTTTTTTTTAAAGTTTTAGTAGAGGTTTTGTGGGGCTCGCAACTACATAAGGTCATATGAGCACCAGAAGACTAGAGGTGTCGCAAGAAAGCAACAAACATTAAAAGGAAGAAAGGGAGATAAGGACGATAGATGTTTAATAGAAAGGAAGAAGCAAACAACACCAAAGCACCCGCCAACCACCCATCAGAGTTGCCTACACCGCATCCAGTAACGACCAACACTGTGAACAAAGTCTTAAAACGTTGAGCGTAAGTAAAATTAGTCCGGTGGCAGTGGAGACACGTAGCAACACGCTACCTTAGAATGGCAAAGTTCTATCTGACATTTTTTGTCGTTTTGAGTTACTAATACCACGAGATCAGAAACCAAATGTTCAAACTGTTCTTTCAAAATTGTAAGATTATTCAGAGTTGTTTTCGAGATGTTAAAAAAAACTGCATTCGAAAAAGCTTGACATGATGCGAAACTTTGTAATTTTAGGGTCAACAAAGGAGAAAACACACGAGTTACACAATGATGATACTATACTGACAGACATTACAGAAATGACGTAACGGTGACTGTCTCTCGGATATCTTTTGAACGGATCCACTTTTTTTTTGGCAGGGTGTGTGTGTGTGTGGGGGTGTGTGTGTGTGTGTGTGTGTGTGTGTGTGTGTGCATCTGGTTGAATACTTTAGACGCAATTGTAATGGAATAAATGTTGGATGAAGTGTTACAAGAGGCAGTATTTTTGGGTTGCTATTTTATTTTGTTTGTTTTTGTTTTGTTTTGTTTTATTTTGTTGTTCGGGGGTTTTGTGTGGGGGGTTTTCGGGAGGGGTGGGGAGGATACTTCAAAGACATTATTTACTGTAACAATTTACTAACAGGCAGACCCTTTTTGGAATTTGGCCTTCAAGACAACAATCTTGTTGTTGTTTCTTCATCATCTACCATCGGAACGATTATTACTGCATGCAGATTAGACTCACGGCCAACGCGAAATTACATTGACACATTATGCAAATAGGTTAGGTCGTTATCTTGTTCAAGGGAAGATGAGCACATCAAATTGACAACACAGAGTATAACACGACAGTAACAACTGACCCCC